GGGCCTGCCCAAGCCTGCGGCCCTCTCCAAACCGGAGCCGGACGAGCTCTCCCTCTTCGGGAGGTCCCTCGGCCTGCCAAGCTCCAGCGACTCCTGTGACGTGCTCCTCGGCTGCTCGGGAAGGGTCCCGGAGGACGCCTCGTTCCGGTGAGCATGTGTTGCTGCTGGGGGAGAGCAGGGGGGGAGCAATGCCGGGCCGAAGCTGCCCTTGCTGTGAAGCAGCGAGCGAAGCCTCTCGTGGGCTGGAGTTGCCCCTTTCTTCCTGTTACGGATGGTGTTCAGCTGGAGGAGATTTGGGGTGAGGGGCTATGGGCAAGCAGGGCTCATGGGACGGGAGGGAAGGATGCCCAGTGCCCGCTGCCTGCGCAGGCAGCATTCAGGGGAGTGGGTGCTGCGTGGGGTGGCCTGTCAGAGGCACGGGCTGTGGAGCGGGTGCCATCTGCCCCCGCTGTCCCTGAGCTCTGGAAATGATGTGGCACTACCCTCCCTCGCTGTTGAAACGTGCCCCCTGTGACTGAGACTCATCCTAGTGCTGCCGAAAGAGCCCGCGGGCTGCTGGTGCATGCTGCGTAATGGCATTAATGTGTTGTGACTGATGGTGGCTTTGCACTGGTGAAGGACACCGCTGCGGGGCTTGCAGCGCTGCTGTCACATGCGATGCCCTGGCCTTTGGGGCTGGCTGTGCTCTGGGGCAGACTCTGGGGCTGAGATCCGGGTCCTTTTCCCCAGGAGCCCGAGGGATGCATGATTCCTGGGGAAGGGAGGGGAAGCAGTTTTCCAGGGACACCCTGTCTCGCAGGCTGCCTGCTGTGCCAGCCTGCCTGTGTCAGTCGGCAGTGACGAAAACGAGGGCTCTTTGTGCTGGCTTCTAGAATTTCACCAGGGCTTGGGTTACAGCGGGGCTTGCCATGCGCCGAAGTGCAGACCCTGGGGCTGTTTAGAGGCGAGGACCTGTCTCCTTCAACCGGGAGTTAAGGACCTGTGCCCTGGCTAAGCTCCAGCTATGGCCACTTCTGTTGGAGGCAGAGAGCTTCCTTGGTGGAGCTGGGGGCTGAACG